TCTTCTCTCTCTGCCCGCCTGCCCTCCCTGCTGGTTCACCCTTCTCCCCCCCCCCCCCCCCCCCCCCCCGCCCTTCTCCTCACGCACCCGGCCTCGTCTCTCTAGTCTCTGCACTTGTCTCCCATTAAGGTCCCATCCATGGGGGGGCGGAAGCGGGAGCGCAAGGCGGCCATCGAGGAGGACACCTCCCTGTCGGAGAGTGACGGGCCCCGCCAGCCCGATGGGGATGAGGAGGAGAGCACAGCCCTCAGCATCAACGAGGAGATGCAGCGCATGCTCAACCAGCTGTGAGTCCCGAGCCCCCCAGGCCCACCCTCAGCAGCCCCCCAGAGGCCGGAGCTCCCCGACAGCGGCCCTCAGCAGGCAGGAGGCCCCCGCCCCCCTTGACGGCGGGCTCCCTGTCTCTAGGAGGGAGTATGATTTTGAGGACGACTGTGACAGCCTGACTTGGGAGGAGACTGAGGAGACTCTGCTGCTGTGGGAGGATTTCTCAGGCTATGCCATGGCAGCCGCAGAGGCGCAGGGAGAGGTAACGGCCCCTCCCAGCCTCAGGGCCCCACCAGTCCCGCCCCCCAGCTGGGAGCCCCATCCCCTCCCTCCCCTGCCTGCACTCCTTGCTGCTTTCCCTCTGTGGCCTCCATGCTCACCTGCTTCTCGCCTCTTCCGTCATCCTTCTCTGGGCTTTCAGCAGCCTCCTTTAACCGGACTCTCTCTTCCCCCATCCGCGCCCCCCCCCCCACCTCGCCTCGGCCCTGTGGAATGCCCCTGTCCCACCCCACCCCCATTGGCCTCTCCCTCGCTTCCCCTTCCGCTCCAGCAGCAGGAAGACAGCTTGGAGAAGGTGATTAAAGATACTGAGTCCCTATTCAAAACCCGGGAGAAAGAATATCAGGAAACCATTGACCAAATAGAGGTAAGGCTGTGGTTGAGGCCGAAGCGCACAGGTCGTGAGCGGGGCTGCGGGATCCCAGACACCAGGCCTTCCCCCTTTCTTTTGTGGGGGTGGAACCCTAAGATCGCAGGCTCTCAAGGGAGGAGGACAGATGTGGGCTCCAGTCTCAGCCCTGTTACCTACCTTCTACCACTCCAGCTTCTAACAGGCTGCTTCCGCGCTCTCAGCCTGTTGATTTGTCAAGTGGGACCTTTTCTTTTTTAAGTTTTTTTGAGAGAGACAGAGAGTGAGTTGGGGAGGGGCAGAGAGAGAGGGAGACACAGAACCCCAAGCAGGCTCCACACTGTCGGTGCAGAGCCTGATTTTGGGCTTGAACTCATGCACCGAGAGATCATGACCCGAGCCAAAATTGACAGACGCTTAACTGACCGAGCCCCCCAGGGGCCCCTCAAGCGGGATCTTCACCATACGTCCCTCACGGGAATGTTTGAAGAGCAGATGCAATGAGGTACACGTAGCGCTGAGGGCAGCGTCTGTCTCCTAGTAGGCGTACTGCAGGGCGGTTTTAGTAGTAGTGTCACTACTGGCCGTGTGGTAGTGGAGTCCACTAAGAAGTGGGCGTGAGCTTCGCTGTTTCTTTAGTTCAGCCTTTCACCTGACGGAGGGAGCTCCGCTGTCACCCCCTGGCCACCCCCTAGCCCGAAGACCCTTCTCGAGATGGCAGACGCTGGGGCTGCAGGGCCGCCTTTGTGGCACCCTGGGTGGAGGGGCTGCGCTTCCTGGTGCCCTCCTGCTTGTGGGGTGCGCCCTTCCCTGAGCACCCAGCGTGGGGAGGACACACGTGGGCCTCTCCTCAAGCCCACGTAGCATATTGACACCCTGGCTTGTCTCATGCTGCCCGTTTCTTGGGACAGAAGTGGGCAGATGATTTTCCTACGTGCCCATCCTCCCAACACACACCAAGTGGTCCTGCTCCTTTAAGCCAAACCTGGTTTTGTTGCTTGCCCAAGCAGACAGGTGCGAAGTTTTCAAGGCGCAGCTGGGTTTCTGGTCTCTGCTGACCAGAGGGGAAGGGAGAGTCGCTCTCCGCTTGCTCCTTGACACCATGTCAGTCTTCCTTCTCTCTTGCAGCAGATTGGCTTTAGGAGAGGTGTTGGGAGAGCTGACGGGGTGGGGGGTGGGGTCTTTGGGTGCAGCGCTGGCCCTGGTGACCCATCCTGGGGTCACTGGGATGGATGCAAGGAACATTCATTTCCTATTGTCGGTGGTAAAGCCAAGGTCCAGGTGGAGGGTGGGAGGGAGTTCATCCTCTCCGGCTAGTCCCAGCCCTACCCTCCGGTGACAGTGAGTCCGCGGATTTCATTGGAGGTCTTTAGGTACCTCCCAACAGTGGTGGCTGCCTCTCCTCACCCCTGCTTTAAAATTTAAAAAAAAAAAATTTTTAACATTTATTTATTTTTGAGAGACAGAGTGTGCGTAGGGAAGGAGCAGAGAGAGAGGGAGACACAGGACCTGAAACGGGCTCCAGGCTCCGAGCCATCAGCACAGAGCCCGATGCGGGGGTCAGACTCATGAACTGAGAGATCAAGACCTGAGCCAAAGTCAGAGGCCAAACCGACTAAGCCGCCCAGGTGCCCCCCTCACCCCTGCTTTAAGTGTGTGAAGTAAGGGGACAGGTACAGATGAGCACAGACGCTGGTGGTGGTCCCAGCCTGGTCTTTGGATGGAATACAGCTGCTTCATTTCCTTCTTCCCTATCCTAGTGAGGGATGGGCCCCGGAAGCTAGTCCCTTCCCTTGCTGCTCTGCTTAGGTGGGGAAGCTGGGGTGACATCTTGTTGTCTTCCTGGACTGAGCACATCCCACTGCTCTGGAGCCAGGGCTGCCACCAGAGCTGTTCTCACCAGGGCTTATGACCCGTGCAGGCCATCCCTTCTGTCTGGCCCTGTGACCCGGTTTCTTCTCCCTCCGGGTCCCCATCCTCTCCCAATGCAGTTTGGATTAGTTCTGGGTGGTTTCCTCCATCCAGTGTGGATCATTCACGGTCGTCTCCTCCCCTTCCCTGTGCTCCCAGGCAGTGAAGCAGATCACCTCCAGGCACTATTATCCTGCCTCTCCTTTGGGCCTCTGTCCTTTGTACCCCAGACAAAGAGAGGCAGCACTTGTCTCTGGCCCAGATCTTTTCCACATCGCCCCGCCTCTCAGCTCTGCCTCAAAGCCTGTGGCAGAATCTAGCTCAGAGGGAGGCCGTATTTCCTTGAGTCTGAGCCCACCTTTTGCCACATGTAATGTTTCTTAAGTCGGGACACATCTTAACAGCGGTAGGACATCGGGTGTGGCAGAAGTCTTTCTGTTAGACCCTGAGAACGGCTCACACCGGAGACCAGCGTGATAAGGGCAGACTGGGCCTCTCTCAACAGCGCAGGGCAGGTCCCCTCCTCTGGGCCACGATGCTGGATGCTGTCGCTACTGAAGAAAGGTTCATTGCATAGTTTCCCATCTTGGGGCTGGGCACGTGCAGAGATGAGTAAGACCTGGGGCCGGGAGCAGGGGCGCCTGGGTGGTTCAGTTGATTGAGCTCCTGACTTCGGCTCAGGTCATGATCTCGAGGTTTGTGGGTTCAAGCCCCTCATGGGGTTCACTGCTATCAGCATGGAACCCACTTCAGATCTTCTGTCCCCCTCTCTGTGCCCCTACCCTGCTCATGCTCTCTCTCTCTCTCAAAAATAAGCATTAAAAAAAAGAGGCCCATGGCCGCCTCCCAGGAGCACCCCAATTAGTCAGGGAGGCAGACAGGGTGCAGCATTGTACCTGGCCATGCAGGAAGCCCAGGGAGGGTGCAAAGCTGTGCATAGATTGTCACCCTGGGCTCTCTGTCCTGTCTACTTATGTCCCTCTTGTCACTGAGGGTCTGCAAGAATGCAGGCCTGTAGCAGAGACCTCGGCCTTCCTCTGTAGGCAAAGATCCCCAGGAAAACTAAAAGGAATGATAGTATATTGGTGCCTTCTGGCTTGATCTGACTCATTTATTTTTTTATTTTATTATTTTATAAAAATGTTTAAAAAAATTTTTAAATGTTTTATTTCTGAGAGAGAGAGGGAGAGAGACAGCATGAATAGGGGAGGAGCAGAGAGAGAGGGAGACACAGAATCTGATGCAGGCTCCAGGATCCCAGCTGTCAGCACAGAGCCTGTCGCGAGGCTCGAACCCATGAACTGTGAGATCAAGACCTGAGCCGAAGTTGGACGCTTAACCAACTGAGCCACCCAGGCACCCTAAAAATGTTTATTTTTGAGAGAGAGAGTGAGCAGGGGAAGGGCAGAAAGAGGGAGACAGAAGATACGCAGCAGGCTCCTCGCTTTGGGCACAGAACCCAATGCCGGGCTTGAACTCATGAACTGGGAGATCATGACCTGAGATGAAGTCAAGAGTCGGCCACTTAACTGACTAAGCCACCCAGGCACCGCCATCTGACTTGTGTTTAAATCAGAGCCCTCACTCGTGGCCACCGGGGCTCCGTGCCTGGTGGTGCGCCTTTCGCGTGTTAGCCTCTGGGGGGCTGGGGGCAGGGGCGCTGCTGACCTGTGGGGTCTTGTCCTGCGCCTGACGCAGCTGGAGCTGGCTACGGCCAAGAACGACATGAACCGGCACTTGCACGAGTACATGGAGATGTGCAGCATGAAGCGGGGCCTGGATGTGCAGATGGAGACCTGCCGCCGGCTCATCACCCAGTCTGGGGACCGGTGAGGACCCCCCGCTGGAGCGTGGGGCGCGGCCCGCCCTCTTCTGGCCTCCTCCCAGGGTGCAAGCGAGGGGTGGGGCGTCAGAGGCCCTTGGTGGGCTTGAAGACCCTGCAGGGACCTTGGGGGCAAATTTTTATTTAAAGTCAGAAGCACAGTTTGTGCATTTGACCCTCTGTAAGTTATACCTCAACAAAAAAGTAAGTTTTAAAAAGTCACAAAAGTACTACAGAGAGACACAAAGCCGGGGCCGCCAGGTCTGCGCTCAGGCTCAGGCAGCACCTCTCGTGCTGTGATGTGAGACACTTCTGAACTCTGAGCCTCCTAGGGTCCCCGAGATAAAGACAGGGACTACACCCCCATCAGGGTGGGGCGGGAGGGATTCCGCCCGCTTCCCTCGCCCCACACCTGCCCTCACCCCTGCGGGCCTCCTGTCCTTGCCTGAGATGGTGGTCACTGGCCTCCCAGAGAATCAGGCCACTGGAGAGGAGAGCCAGCCTCATGAGGATTCCTGCCTGCCCCAAGGTGACAACCGGTGTTTTTTTCTAGAAAGTCTCCTGCTTTCACTGCGGTCCCGCTTAGCGACCCGCCGCCGCCGCCACCAAGCGAGACTGAGGACTCCGATCGCGATGTCTCATCTGATAGCTCCATGAGATAGGGACGCACCTCCAGCCTGGCGCCCCGGGGCCCCACCCAGCCTGCTGGGAACTCGCAGAGGCAGAGGGGTGGGGGGTTCACAGAAGGGGAACTTCATCCGTCCCACCCGCCGCACCAAGCCTCGCCCCTGGGGACTTGGGCACTTCCCCCTCTGATTTCCTGCCTTAGTCCTTGGCCTCCAGGGCTCTGAGGTGTCTGGAGTGAGGCTCAGCCCGCCCTGCCCAGACTGCCCTGCCCCCACAGCTGGGGCTCCCTCGCCTTCACGTGTGGGTGTCTGCTACCTTCTCATCTTCAGAATGCTGCCAGAGCCATGGTGGCCCCTTACTTGTCCATTGAGTAAGGAATGTGGTCGTCAGATCTCCTTTCCATCTCTGTGGCCTCGAGCCAGCTTACTGTCTTTGATTCTGTACTGGTGCTAACTGGCCCAGGCACTGGTATGAAGTGGGTTAGGCTGGTCGTTCCAGGGCTTGTGCCACAGGTGCAGTGGGAGGGGGCTTCCTCTGAGGGGCAGCTGAGGGGAGGCAGGACTGGGTGCTCCTCCCCCCCCCCCCGTTGTCATCCACCCGTGGATGGCGGTGATGGGGCTGTGACCCTTCCCTCGTGGAAGTGCCCTGCATTGTAGGGGCCTTAGTGCCTCCGGTCTCGGTGGCTTCTGGATCTGCCTGGGTGCCATGCTGGGGAGGGAGACGGAAGCTCTTGTTTGTTTCCCAACGCTGAGGGCAGAGAAAAAGGTGAAGCTACCTGTGTGTGTGTGTGTGTGTGTGTGTGTGTGTGTGTGCCCGCGAGTGCGTGTGGTGTGTGTGTGCACGTGTATGTGTGCTCAGGGTCTCAGTTTCTTCAAGCATCAGCTGAAGATGTGCCTCCTCCGTGTCTGTGGTACGTTCACTGAGAGCAGCAGGCTGAGAAGATGTCCCGGACGAAAAGCTTGGGAGAAGGTGGGGGGCCGTGAGTGCAAGCCCCTCAGCAGACCCGCCTGCGGGGAGCTGTGCTGAGCGGACACTTGAATGGAGTCTTTAATAATAATGAAAGTGGCGAGTATTTATTGAACGCTGTGTCGCTGTTTCAAGCACTTTCTGGTAGTGGCTACGCCATCCTCTCTGTGAGGCGCACAGTGGTTTTCCTCACTTGACACCCGAGCAGGTGCAAAGTAAGGCCCCGGAGGTTGTAGGTAACTGGCCCAGGTTGTAGGTAACTGGCCCGTGTAGAATGGCAGCTGGCGGACCCAGGGCCCCTGCCCCCGCCCGCAGGGCCCTCCCCCACACACGACGGCAGTAATCCTCTTAACACTTGCCCAGAACACGGACGGGCGGTGGGCATTACCCTTTTTCCTGACCATTTACTACACAGCGCTGGGTGCTCATAGCCGACCTACTGTAATCCTTCTGGAAAAGCTTTAGGGGTTGGGTGTAGCGTTATCACTTTGCAGAGGAGAGTAACTAGGGCACAGGAAGGTAAATATCTGACTCAAGACCTCCAGGCTGTGAGGCAGGGTGGAGTTCACACCCTGGTGGTTCCGCTCTGCCCCGAGTTGCTAGGGCTTTGCTTCCGAGTGACCAGGTAACCAGGCAGGGCTGCAAGGACCTGGTGGCCCGATTCCTAAGCCCTAACTCCCTGGGCCAGTGTTTCTCCTCTACAGGGCAGTGGACAGGATAGTTTTCAGGTAGAGGCAGCCAGGTGACCTGGTGACAAAAGGGCCTTGTCCTCTGAGGTGGACATGCCTCATCACATAGCACCTAGAAACCTTGGGAGGGAAACTGAGCGAGGCAAAGTGCAGTCAGGCGGCTCTTCTAATTAGCGCATGCCCATGCACACGTGCTTTTGTAGGGCATGCTCAGTTGGGCCCAGGACCTCCGGCGGAGTCAAGGTGTGGTCAGGGTATGCTGAGCCTTTCCCGGGTGCTTGCAGCAAGGTCTGTTTGTCTTTGGCACCAGCCTAGCTCCTCTCCCCTTTACCCTAGACCCTGTAAAAACCTTAAGAAAACAAACAAAACCACACCAAAAGCTCACAGGAATTGGCTGGATACAGTATACTTTATTGATGGTACATGGTAACATAGGGCTCCCCAAGCCCCTCCCCTTCTTCAGGGGGTCTGGGATGGAAACTGGAGTTCAGGAGATTCTCAGGTGTGTTGGGGGATGAATTGGGACATAGACTCCCCAGCAGCTGAGGGTCTCTCTTCTCCCTCTTGCTGGGGCTGGTGGTCCAGGGGGCTCTTACTCCTTGGAGGCCATGTGGACCATAAGGTCCACCACCCGGTTGCTGTAGCCAAATTCATTGTCATACCTGGAAGAAGATCAAGAGTTAAGGGCTATCTTCACGAACCGGCCACCAGAGGGCGCCACACTCCCAACCACACTCTTAGAGGTGTTGCTCCACACCCTGGCGGCACCATACCAGGAAATGAGCTTGACAAAGTGGTCGTTGAGAGCAATGCCAGCCCCAGCATCGAAGGTGGAAGAGTGGGTGTCACTGTTAAAGTCGCAGGAGACGACCTGGTCCTCAGTGTAGCCCAGGATGCCCTTGAGGGGGCCCTCTGATGCTTGCTTCACCACCTTCTTGATGTCATCGTATTTGGCCTAAAAAGGTAAAAAAACGAGATGGTTGGTTATTCACGTTCCAATCTTGCTGTTTTACTCAACACAAACTCTGAGCCCATGAATCCTTTCCCAACTCGTACTCACAGCTTTCTCCAGGCGGCAGGTCAGATCCACGACAGACACGTTGGGGGTGGGGACACGGAAGGCCATGCCAGTGAGCTTCCTACAGACAGGAAAGCAGGGTCGGTACTGCTCCTCCCATTTCCAGACCCCTGCCCAGGGCAGAGAAAAGCAAGGAACCTTACCCGTTCAGCTCAGGGATGACCTTGCCCACAGCCTTGGCAGCGCCAGTAGAAGCAGGGATGATGTTCTGGGCAGCCCCTCGGCCGTCACGCCACAGCTTCCCAGAGGGGCCGTCCACGGTCTTCTGGGTGGCAGTGATAGCATGGACTGTGGTCTGGAAATATGGAGGAGGGAGTGAAGGCCTTGCATAGCACTCCTCACATCATCTACCCCGATGTCCCCCCTCCCTGGGGAAGAACTAAGGGATAGAGAGTGACCTGAGCCAATCCCTTAGCCCCAATGCCCCCTCAGCCCAGGACCACGTTCTAAGAGGGGAGAAGGATCGAGTCCTGGGTGAGAAATAAACACGGTGGGCACTTTCCCCATCGCCCATACCATGAGTCCCTCCACGATGCCGAAGTGGTCATGGATGACCTTGGCCAGAGGGGCCAGGCAGTTGGTGGTGCAGGAGGCATTGCTGAAAAAAGGAAGGCAAGTCAAGAACATGTCTGCCTGGTAACACACAGTACTATCTGGCCACCTCCCCACTCCTCTGCTGTGCTCACCTGACAATCTTGAGAGAGTTATCATACTTCTCGTGGTTCACACCCATCACAAACATGGGGGCATCAGCAGAAGGGGCAGAGATAATGACCCTCTTGGCCCCACCCTTCAAGTGAGCCTGTGGTAGAGAAGTCATTGTAATTCATGCTGCCTTTCCTCAAGGGTTCCCCATTCTTCCCGGGATACCACCCCCACCCCCACCTTGACTCTCCCTGCCACTCACCCCAGCCTTCTCCATAGTGGTGAAGACCCCAGTGGACTCCACAACATACTCAGCACCAGCATCACCCCATTTGATGTTGGCGGGATCTCGCCTATAACGGAAGACAAGTTGAAAGCTCACGGATAGGGGGTACCATGTGCCACCGAAGGCAGTCACCCCATCCTAGTACCTCCCTCAAAGCAAATTTCACCCTGTTCTGTCTTCTGCACTTACTCCTGGAAGATGGTGATGGGCTTTCCGTTGATGACAAGTTTCCCGTTCTCAGCCTTGACTGTGCCGTGGAATTTGCCGTGGGTGGAATCATACTGGAACATGTAGACCTGGAGGGACAGGTGAGGCCATCAAGGGGCTACACTTCAGCCAGGCTCTGCTCCCTACGCCAGCTGTGGGGTCAGCACTCACCATGTAGTGGAGGTCAATGAAAGGGTCATTGATGGCAACAATGTCCACTTTGCCAGAGTTAAAAGCAGCCCTGGTGACCAGGCGCCCAATGCGGCCAAATCTGATAAAGACAAGAGGTGTGAAAGAATGAAAAAAAGAGTCTAGAGAATTCTCCCAGGCATGGAAATAGCCCTAGGCCAATTCATCCTCTTTCAGAGGTTTAGAAGATGGCACTTCCCGGCCTCTGGTCAAGTCCCAAGAGGTCTAATTTTATCTTTCTTGAGCAACTCTGCCAGGACACCCCTGCTGTACAGCACAGCCAGGTGACGCCTGCCCAAGAGATGCATAGGTTCAGAGGCTGGCCCAGCTCCCCAGCCACCAGAAGTGCTGCGAAGGAGCAACGGCCGTGCAGGGCTCGGCTCTGGCCACCCCCGCAGTCTGGACACATGCCTGGCACATGGCATTTATCTCCCCCACTATCTCTGCCCTCCCTGGAAATGCCTGTTCCCTGTCTGGCCCAGCGTCAGGATACACCCTCCGGGGAGCAAAGACTTGCACACTTAGCATCACCAAGCTCAAAGGGCAAGAGTAAAGGTCAGAAATTAACTGGATGGGGAAAGCCCATCTCTTCCTCCAAAACAGAAAGAGAAGGGGGGAAAGGAGTGCTTCTCAACTCCCTAATCTCAAGGCTCCGGTTTGCTAAGCTACGTGTCCCTGCAAGCCCTCTTCCAAAAATCAGGAGTGGGAGCGACAGATGTGCTGGGGTGGGTGGGGGCAAAAAGAGTAGTAGCCCAGGCCCCAAGCTGCAGAAAGGTCAGGCAGCTATATTTAACCCCAGATTAGACTGGAAAGGGGATCTGATTTCTGGAAGACAGAACGGAGAGAAGGGCAGGATTCCCAAGACACCTAATCCTCCCAGTGACCTTTATAGCCTGGCCTTTAGGGTCGGGTCAGCTCTAGGTATGGACGGAAGAAAGGAGCTTCGAGGAGAGCCAGTGTGATGAAAGGGGCTGCTGCTACAGAAGCCATTTTGTGGTGGAAAATTTCTACCCATGACTCAGCTCCCCAACATGGTACTAAGCTGTGCTACCACACCTCTCCGGAAAAGGGGGGGCGGGGGAAAGGACACAAGTACTCCCCCAAACCCAGGTTTCTGATTCATCAGAGAATCCTCTAGGAAAAGCAAGCCTGAGGAGAAATGTGATTGACAGCTTAAGGGATGGTCTACGGTCAGAGTTCTGACGTCCAGCTCTTTTAAGAGCAAACCCGGGGGAAGCCTTGCCTCACCTGGCTTACGGGATAAAGGCGACTCCACCCCACACAGGCAGAATCAGGAGGGTTAGTCATAGGCGAGGAAGGAGGAACAGTGAGGAGCTAAGGAAGGTTGCCTAACGGTGGTTCATTCACTTCCTTCCCCGTTGCAACATGGCGGCCGGGTTCCCGCAAATGAGCCCTTCTAGCGGGCTCTGCACTCAGCTGAGCACCAGGCATCCCGGTAGGTGGGGAGGCGGCGGGCTGGTGGGGGAGGGGCTCCTTCCTGGCACGTGACCCCGCAGGGCGCGAAAGCAAAGAAAGAAGCCCCAGCTAGGGGATTAAGGGGATGGGTCCCAGGCCGGGAGTCGGGGGCAGGTGGCGCTGGGGGCTGCGGGGGGCTGCGGGCGGCTCGGCCCCGCGGGGGCGGAATTGCGGGAGGCGCCACAGCTTGGGGGAGGGTGGCCCACGAGGCTCTTCAAGGCCCCTCGGCCAGGTCAGAGCGCCGACCTTGAGTTCTCCTTGGGGGTGGGGGGGTAGGACCACCGCACCCACGTCCCCCACGCGCTTGCGAAGACCTGAGCAAAGCAAGGCCCGCAGACACGGTTCGCCCGGGGCCGCGGGGCTCGATGCCCCACCCTAGCCCACCCCCTAACTCACCCGTTGACTCCGACCTTCACCATCGTGTCTCGGGGACGCAGCTGCGGGCAGAGAAAGGCGAGCATTAGAGCGCGGGGGCGGGCGGCGGCTGCAGTCCGGCCGCTGCCCTCCCCTCCCCCAGGCCTCCATTCCCACCCCGCGTGCGGGCA